TTCGTGCAGTGGTACAGTCGTACAGTGGTACAGTCGTACAATAATACAGCAAGAACAGGGGGGTCTATATTGATCGGCAAGAACCAATAACAAACTGACTAAAGCACTGATTGACTGATTGACTGATTGACTGATTGACTGATTGACTGATTGACTGATTGACTGATTAACTGATTGACTGATTGACTGATTGACTGATTGACTGATTGACTGATTGACTGATTGACTGATTGACTGATTGACTGATTGACTGATTGACTGATTGACTGATTGACTGATTGACTGATTGACTGATTGACTGATTGACTGATTGACTGATTGACTGATTGACTGATTGACTGATTGACTGATTGACTGATTGACTGATTGACTGATTGACTGACTGGCTGATTGACTGACTGGCTGATTGACTGACTGGCTGATTTACTGGCTGACTGACTGACTGACTGGATGACTGATTGACTGATTGACTGACTGGCTGATTGACTGATGGAGTAACTGACCGACCCACCAATCGACCTACTGACTTATTGATTGATTGGCTGATTGACTGATGGAGTGACTGACCGACCCACCAATCGACCGACTGACTGGTTGAATGAATGTTACGAGGTATAAAGCTTAAGAGCATCAGATGCTAGAACAAAAAAAAATGAATATTGCTAAATCCAAAAGTGCACGAATGTACGCTCAAATGAACAGCACCGAAACAAAATCGTGCCTCATTATCCAACAATAAAAGAAACCTGTCACGATTTCAACGCACGGATCAAAAGACGATTTTAAGAATAAACTTAACACTTTAAAAACTCATATTCAATGTATTTCAATGTAATCATAAACATGTTGTTTTGCCACGTGAAATAGTAAGCGTTTCGTTATGCAGGTTCTCTTTCTGTTAATGCTTCGATAGTGTAATACTATTATCAGACCAAACAACAGACCACACAGCAAAGGATATAAGAGCCCACACAACAGACGAGAAAAACATAACAGACCAGACAATAGATCAGACAAGAGACCAGACAATGGACTAGACCACACAACAGACCAGACAACAGACTAGACAACAGACTAGACCAGACAACAAACATAACAACGGACATAACGACAGACATAACAAGAGACATAGCAACAGACATAACAAGAGACATAACGACAGACATAACGACAGACATAACAACGGACATAACAACAGACATAACAACATAACAACAGACATAACAACAGACATAGCAACAGACATAACAACAGACCACACAACAGACCACACAACATAAATAACAACAGACATAACAACAGACATAACGACAGACATAACAACAGACATAACAACAGACCAGACAACAGACATAACAACAGACATAACAACAGACAACGAGGCAGACTAAGACGAACATGCAGCTCACGCCCAGCGTTTGTCCTGGCCGAGGTGATCGATGGACTGGGCGAACGAGCAAGGTGCGAGTGAGGTGGAAAAAAAAACACCATGATCCTCCCCCCACCCCACCATCACACCCCACCCCTCCCACACACACCTCCCCACCAGACATAGCTTGGCTCATGTGACATCATACCGTCCTCTCGACGTTCGTTGCGTCATAGCGCCATGACATGGATATGTACTCACCATCTTTGAACCAGGATTTTCTCTTGTTCCAGCCGAATACCATGTTTTGATATTTTCATTTCGGAGTTTAAAAATACGAATCAGTTTTTCTTTTTATAAAGTTGGTATTCACAGTGGTGTATGAAATATTATTTGCTGTCTTCGACAAGTAGATAGGCTAGGTATTTTCTAACATCACAATTTTTTCAATAATTTTTTTTATAGTGAAGTGAAGACAATTAAGCTCAAGTGTTGCTTACATGGTCGACTCTACTGCTTCTGTGGTGTGTCTGTGCATTATTTTTTAATAGAGAAATCTAGAAAAGAAACAATGTTTATATATTTATACATGGAACAACCCCTTCTTGCCAACTAAATTAAATATTCATGCGTTTTTTTATATTAACTAGTTTCTTTGAAATATCGATTGTAGTGTTGACAAAATTTAGTCATTCAAGTAGATATTTCAATGTGTTATATAGTCCTACTGGACGTCCGCGCAAGGTGTGATTCTGCTGCCAGTTTTACGGCGAGATCAAAATTTAATGACGACGAGTGAGTCAGCTTTCATATTGATTTAACTGGCGTCCAGCTTTTATATCAACACGGTCGTCTTAAGTGATTGGCTTGCCTGTGGCTAAATTGCTTTTTCTCCTCGCAAAACCGCATTCAACATATATATACATATATACACACACACACACACACACACACACACACACACACATATATATATATATATATATATATATATATATATATATATATATATATATATATATATATATATATATATATATATATACATATATACACATTTTATATATACATATATATGTGTGTGTATATAAGTGTATGTGTGAGTTTGCACTCACAAAAGACAAAGCGACATTCTAGTGACCAAACTATTATACAGTATAGTGAAATATGTATGAAATATATTATATCGTTAAAAAAATCAATCAATAATATTGATCATTCATGTCATAGATTATCGTGTCCCTGATATGTTACTTAACTTAATTACTAAATTTAATTAGATGGGTCATCTTTATTGCAATAGCGTAGCCCATTATTAAACAAGTTAATTAAAAAAGTCTAGTGACATTTGTGCGCAATTTCCTTATGTTATCTAAAAATAGCTCTGACGTATAATGTTGGGGTGCGTTCAAGCTAGAAGAACAATCGGTTTGTAGGTGTTTATGTAATTTTAAAATTTGTGACCGAACGAGAGAATATTTTTGAAAACTTTCTTCGGCAATATTGTTCTAAATTATGACAGGAATCGATTGGTACATGTTTCAAGTCGCTAAGTGGTCTGGTTGCCGAGATATGAGCCAAAAACTGAATTTTTTCGAGGTTTTTTGGCTTTTCCGGGAAATACATGAAAGAAACCCGGAATTTTTATGGCCTATGCTCATTCTCGTAACTTGCTTAACATAATTGCTTTTGGAACTATTCATCGATATTGCTTCGTTGAGGAGGAGATACGACTTAAAGCCCGGACACACATTCATCCATCCATCCATCCATTCCCAGAAATGACGAGTTAATAAACGCAATTCTCCAGAATGGAAATTGCGCTAAAAAGTAGAGTGCCCCCACCCCCCTATCCATCGACATAAAATCCTGAGGGCTGTGATGGCTGCACAGTCTGTGTGTGGTACAGGGTAGAGAGCACGGTTCCAGCCCTCCCCGGGGACGGGCTAATCACGTGGTTCTAATCACACCAGGCCCGGGAGCCCCCAGAGAATTTCCCGACTGACGATCCTGCGAATGTGAGCGCTAGCATGCGTGTGAGTGTGTGAGCGTTTGACCATACAAGTAAAAATAGAATCTTTACACTTGAAACTCTAACCCTGATAGTCCTATTAAAACACAAAATTCCTTAATTGTGAGAACGCTCACTACCATAAAAAATATCTACCTTTGCTCACTAACGTGTCGTAGACGTGCATACACACAAGGTGGCCAATCCCCATTATACTATGGGAACCACTGCTCGCCGGGTGATACCCCCTTCCTCAATAACAATTAGATTACGCGGAAAAAGCCTCCTCATGACGCCATCTTTCTTCTATAAATAACTCACTTTTTATGGCTTCTAGAACCGGAAGTGACATCACAAGCAATAAAAAAAAGGGAGGGAAAAATTCTTCTATTTTCTCTATCCTGCCTGAAGTTCTTGTATTCGGATTCTAAATTAGATTTAGGAGGGATAAAAATAGGAGTTAGCTAAAACGGAAATAAGTTTTTTTTTTCCTAAATATATTTACACCAGATCCTGAGTATTTAGACATTCATTTTTTTTAACCTTTCGGGTTTAATTTTATATTCATTAGCGTAGATTGGAACTCACTGAAAAAATTGCGAACAGCTTAAAACCACAGAAACATGTAGGGGCAGACAATGACTAGCAGTTCGATTCCCAGGCTCCATCACGTGACGTGTACATGAGGCCACCCAGCTCTAATGGGTACCTGACTTGAGTTGGGGAAATAAAAAGCTGGGCTGACCACATAACCCTTTCCTATGATGAGGTAAAAAAAATAAACTCTACGTCATCTGCCCAACGAACCGTTAAATCTAGAATGTGTGTACATATAATGACATAACTTAAATATTATAATCATCAAAATATTATTTAGTCTTTGAAAAAGCTTCATAACATAATATCAAAGTTTGTCGATCTTAAAAGCATCAAAATTAGTTCTAAGTCTGAAGTTTTTGTTAGGTTGATACATTGAGGCCTACTAAGATAGTTACTGTTTAAAATAAATTATTTTTTAACTATTTTAATACGAAAGCCAAGTGTATTGTTCCGTTGTTTTCAAAAGGTTGAATGTATTTGTGTTAGTATTTTCCATTGAATTTGGTACTATGAAAACACATTAAGTCTCACTTTGATGGATGCCCTATAAAATTTATTAGATTTTAAACATTTTTGTCCAAGTTTATTCTGGTATAGTATACTCACACACACAGTCACGCTAAATGGTTGCAGTTTATAATTAATGTGTTATTTAACAAAAAGTAATTAATTAAAATATAAAATACAAGAAGTGGTCAAGTATATTCTAATGTCTTAAGTTTGGATTTGATGGTTAAGTTTAAAATTAATTTGTTCTTAAACAATATTTTTTATTATTATAAAATTCCAAGTGTTCCGTGGTCGTGTATATTCTAGTGTCTGAAGTTCGGATTTGATACAATACAAACACAAGGAGTCTAATTAAGATGGTGGCAGTTTAAAATTAATGTGTTCTTGAACTAGAATTTTTGTATGTGATTGAGTGTGTTCTAGTGTCTGAAGTTAAGATTTGATACAAACACAAGGAGATTCAACAAGATGGCTGTCGTTTGACCTATCAAATCTGCGACCATGGAGAACAAGAGCAATTCAAAGGAGGATTCGACCAGCGCCACCACCTCCCCCGAGGGGAGCGACCGACGCCTGAACATTGAGATGAACTGCCTGGCACCCCCGGAGACGAGGAGCGGGGAGGAGAGCCCCGCGGAGAGCGACGCCATCGTCCCCGGGGCGTCGACGTACGGCAGCATCATGAGCATCGGCCCGGAGACAAGTACGGTCAACCTGCTAAAAATAGATCTGGAGAGGAAGATCAACAGGCATACAGGTGAGTGACCAGAATATGTTTATATCTGGGGGAGGGGGGTGACAAACAGGCATACAGGTGAGTGATTGATTAGAATATTTTTATATCTGGGGAAGGGGGGGGGTGACCAACAGGCATACAGGCGAGTGATGGACTAGAACATTTTTATATCTGGGGGAGGGGGGTAATCAACAGGCATTCAGGTGAGTGATGGGCTAGAACATTTTTATATCTGGGGGAGGGGGGTAATCAACAGGCATTCAGGTGAGTTATTGACCAGAGTATTTTTATATCTGGGGGAGGGGGTAATCAACAGGCATTCAGGTGAGTTATTGACCAGAGTATTTTTATATCTGGGGGAGGGGGTAATCAACAGGCATTCAGGTGAGTTATTGACCAGAGTATTTTTATATCTGGGGGAGGGGGGTAATCAACAGGCTTTCAGGTGAGTTATTGACCAGAGTATTTTTATATCTGGGGGAGGGGGAGGGAGGGGGTGACCAACAGGCATACAGGTGAGTGAGTAACCAGAGTATTTTTATATCTGGGGGAGGGGGATAAATAGGCATATATGAGTAGATGATAATGACATTTTCAAATCTGGGGGAAAGGGGGAGGGTTGGACCAATAGGCATACAGGTGAGTAACTGACCATAACATTTTCATATCTAGGGTGGGAATGACAAACACATACAGTTGAGTTAATGATCCCAATAATAACATATCTGGGGAAGGGTGTGATTTTATGACAACATGCTTTTCAAAGCATTAGACTAAATAGATGACTGCACCACTGCTTGAGATATATGGGGCAACTACATGAATGCACTGCTCTTAACTTACTGTAGAGTATAAGACTGACATATTTCAAATTTTTCTACCACTAAGTACTTGAGTGCGGCCCATTGTGTCTTGGGCACACAAAGTAAAAGCTGATGAAGTACGAGAGTGGATATCACAAAAATGTTGCAGCGTTTGCTTTTTGCCAGACTACTTTATAGTAGTTTTAAATGTTATAGAGTGCTCAGGAAAAAGCAGATGATGAAATCGAAATGTTTTAGGATTTAGGTGTCGTTACATGACAGTTACGGGACGGCGTGGTCGGATGGTAGCGCGGACGACTGATTTACGTTAGAGAATGTAAAGGATGCTGGGCTTAGTTCTGACCACATTATCCCTTCATATGTCGAGGTCACAGGAACAGATGAACTCTACTTCACTTGCCACATGGACCTTCAGACTGAAAGGGAACTTAACTTACTTACATGACAGTTCTCGTGCTTTGTTTAGCCTTACAACTTTTGCTGGAGTTTAGATAGATAATTACCAAGAAATAAGAAAATCAGGGCAATTAGAATTTAATGTCACAAACTTTTTCTAAACCACCGCGCCATATTTAAAACGACAAATATCAAACACCCCATGCAAAATTGAAACCTATTTAATCAAACTAAGACTGCATTCCTATGTCTATCCTCAAACATAAATAAAAACAGTCTGAACCTTAACCCTGGTGTTTTCCGATTATTGATGCAGAACGAGTTGAAAAGCTCAACAAACTCCAACCTGCAACCTATACACATATACAATTTAAGAAAACAAACATCAATATTTACCTCTTACGCATAGTGATATATCTTACTTTACCTAACAAATGACATTCCTCGCATACGGTGTAGTCAAATGTCATACTTGCTATGGTATAATCCCCATAGGTCATGTTTGTAATTCTAATTCGGTACCCACACTTAAGGAGCGGGGCGGGGACGGTGGAGAGGGGGGGAGGAAGAATGTCACCGTCGGGTGACGTCATTGCCCGACTGAAAAAGCCCGAAATGGAATCGGATTTTAACCAGGTTAGCGGGTCGTCATTCGTCCCACATGTTTTGTGGGCCAGCGAGTGGACCAAGCGGGCAGACCGCTGAGACAACAGATGATGTTGTCGTTCTGTTCGGTCCTCTGGTGGTGTGGTGCTGCTGATTAAACAATTCGCTAAACGTTCTCTACCTCTCTTTACGTCCTTCTCTCAATCTTTCTCTTTCGCAAACACACACACACATACAGACGCATTCACACACTCACACAAACACTTGCGCACATACACAACAGAATGGGGTGTCTTATTTTTATTCTTAAATGAAAGAATGAAAAAACAAAAAGGCTTGTCTGGCGCTTTCTCCTGAATTAAAAGGACGGATCTCAAACAGGAAAAAGTAGACCCTCGAGGTGAAAGTGTTGACAGGCTCTTCGTAGGAGCTGTCTGGGTGGGCCACGTCAGACCACTCACTTTTTTCATGTCTTCTTCTTCTTCGTTCTTAATTTTAGTGATGGAAGGGATCCCTATTTCTCAGGACGAGTTACATAGTTGTCTCGAATTGTGTTGATGCTCTGGGTTTGAATCTAAAACGGGGATGAAGGGGCTAACTCACTCATCTACAAGCACGGAATAAAACCCGTCATTTGTAGATGAAAGTAGAAGAAATTCTAGAGTAAGTGATGCTCTGGGTTCGAATTTATAACAGGGATCAAGGGGCTAAAACCCGTCATGTGTACGCCGTGAGTAGATGTCACTGTAGTGTAAGAGATGCCTAAGTCCACCAAGAGATCTCTTTGTCTTTTCTTCCCCCACCCCCACCCCCAACACACACATACACACCCAACGACCTCACCGATTAAAGAAACACCCACACGCTGTCCCTACACACATCGCTACCGTGACGAGCTATCGCCATTTTTCGATTGATCTTAGTCTCGATGAATGTTGTCTGGCCAAAAAGCAAATTCTTTTTTTCTGTTGAAACATTAGATACGAACTATTCGGTCATGTTCTTTGGGTGACTCTACGTGACTCAATGTGACTCTATGTGACTTTATGTGACTTTAGGTGACTATGTGACTCTCTGTGACTCTCTGTGACTCTCTGTGACTCTCTGTGACTCTCTGTGACTCTGTGTGAATCTATGTGACTCTATGTGATTATGTGACTCTATGTGACTCTATATGAATCAATGTGAATCTATGTGACTATGTATTTCTATGTGAGTCTATGTGAGTCTATGTGACTATGTATTGCTATGTGAGTCTATGTGAGTCTATGTGAGTCTATGTGACTATGTATTGCTATGTGAGTCTATGTGAGTCTATGTGACTATGTGACTATGCGACTTCCTTTGTTTGGACACAATAAAAATTGTTTAGACCGTAAATTTAACGATTTTATTAATTTGGTGTCACCCCCTAAATGGTGTCACCCCCTAAATGGTGTCACCCCCTAAATGGTGTCACCCCTAAATGGTGTCACCCCTAAATGGTGTCACCCCCTAAATGGTGTCACCCCTAAATGGTGTCACCCCTAAATGGTGTCACCCCCTAAATGGTGTCACCCCTAAATGGTGTCAACCGGTTCGGACCGCACTCCCGCATCGTGACGCTACTTTTTTTTTTACAACGTGTAGCAGAATAAATTTAAATGTGGTTTAACCTAAATAAAAAATAAACAAGGCGAGAAACGAAATCTAAGAGGTTTCTTCACTTAAAACCACCTCGGTTACAGATGTAAGCAGCGATGTACTTACACTTACAGACAGCCCGCAGTGGACTAACGATTCAACCAACCCTATTTACATATATATTGAAGGATCATTCTCTATTTCGCCGCCCTGAATGGACGTAGCTTCGAAGGGCCGCTAAACCACAAGTACACTAAAGCGCTGCTATTCTCGTCCACTGTCGTTCAATCTTTGATAACGATAGCACATATTTACAAAGGTGCTGTGTTGATAATATATAGTTATATTAAAGGCAAAAGTGCACTAGGGGGCGAATTCCCCCCACCCTCAGGCTAACCATTTAAACGCCACTGAAGAGATCTAGACCCTACGACCAGTAGCAAGACGCATAGAAAAAAGTCCCTATCTAGACGAATGGAAAATTTTCCGTCTTCAACGGCCTAGTTTTTTTTATTTGGTTTGTCGAGGATTTACTTAAGCATCTGAATGACCTTCCCTGTGAGGCTTCTTCATTTCTCATTACCCGAGATATCTAATAAATCTGTCCACTCCACGCTTTCACATCACCCCCTCAAGGGTTCCCATCACCCCCTCCACGCTTTCCATCACTCCCTCCACGCTTTCCATCACCCCCTCCGCCCACACAGAACCTCAACAGTGTATGCTAGAGATTGCATTAGTTCGCGGCGAGTCGAGATTCAATTGTTTCGTCTTGTCTACGTCATGTCTAACATTGTCTTGTCTAACAATGTCTTATCTAACAATGTCTTGTCTAAGTATTGTCTAACAATGTCTTCTCTAAGTCCTGTCTAACAATGTCATGTCCAGTAATGTCTTATCTAACAATGTCTTGTCTAACAATGTCTTGACTACAAATACCTTGTCTAGATCTTGTCTAACAATGTCTTGGCTACAAATACCTTGTCTACATCTTGTCTAACAATGTCTTGGCTACAAATACCTTGTCTACCTCTAATCTAACAATGTCTTGACTACAAATACCTTGTCTACCTCTAATCTAACAATGTCTTGACTACAAATACCTTGTCTACATCTTGTCTAACAATGTCTTGTCTACAAATACCTTGTCTACATCTTGTCTAACAATGTCTTGTCTACAAATACCTTGTCTACATCTTGTCTAACAATGTCTTGTCTACAAATACCTTGTCTACATCTTGTCTAACAATGTCTTGCCAACAAGTACCATATCTACATCTTGTCTCTAACTTCCTACAGGTGAGGAGCGAGCTACCTGGGACAACAGGGCCCAGTTTGTCCTCTCGCTGATTGGCTACGCCGTAGGACTGGGCAATGTATGGAGGTTCCCATATCTCACACAGAAAAATGGCGGCGGTAAGTCAACCACAACCACACCACAACACACACACACATTACAGTTTACTTTTATATATATATATATATATATATATATATATATATATATATATATATATATATATATATATAAAGAGAGAGAGCGTGAATTTTTAAAGATAGAGAGAGCGAGTTTATAACATTTGAATTATAATAATACATTGATTTTTTAAATCCCCCGTTAATAAATTGGGAGAGAAAGTTGACGTATAAAATAGTTGTCCAATGATTGCCTTCACATCGATACAGAATGTTTGCTTGCGAGTTTAAGTCAGATTATTTTGTTGTCTGTCGCTTGAGGCGGATCTACTTTCAACTGGAAAGTAGCCTAGAAGTGCATGAATACAAACTAGATCAAGATTGCGTTTGAAAATGGTAACGAAATACTGGAGAGAGAATCTTAACTTTGTCGTTTCATCGGTATGTTTGTCGTGAACACAGTATCTGATGGTGTATGCATCAGTTAAGAGTATATTTTGGAATAAACTTTATTATTTTATTATTGAAACAAATGTAAAAAAATCTTTATTATAATAAGTTTTAAATGCAGTGTAATAGGCAAATGAAACAAACTTATTTTTTTTAATGCATTGGTCTCTCGTGAAAATCTTTAAACATTTAACATAAATAATGTATGCGGTAATGTTATTTTAGTTTCTTCCATTGGAAAGGACACATTTATTATGTGCAAATAAATAGCAGCTGGCAGATAGATCTCAACACTGGGTGTATGTATACATGGTTAATGATTTAACTAAGATACGACCATACGGAATGTTGATAAAGGAAATAAAACCTTTCTGGAATTAATCCTTGCAATAATTTAAAAAAAACTATACTAGAATTTTAAAAAATTAAAATTCTTGTGGCCAGATGAAACCAATTATGTTTTATTGCTCAAGTGTCACTTGTTAATTCGTTATTTCTTGACTGGAAAACGATCAACTATCAACACATTACTTCAATGCTTAACATATCAAAGTATAATCGGGTTATACACAATGGAATATGAGTCCAGAGAGAATTGGTAGACACTTTAATCATTCAAATGATTTATTACTTTTGATGGTTGATCGCATTTTCTAACATTGCGAAAATAAATCAAACTGTTTCTTTCTTAGAAATAATTAGAAAATAATTGGTAACTCATAAAATCTCGCGAATCTGATTTGAATTCGCGTATCTGATTGGCTCCCCAACATTTAAACCCGTGTATCTGATTGGCTCCCCAACATTTAAACCCGTGTATCTGATTGGTTCCCCAACATTTAAACCCGTGTATCTGATTGGTTCCCCAACATTTAAACCCGTGTATCTGATTGGTTCCCTAACATCTCGCCGAGTCAATCTGATTGACAAAAGCCGCCATGTATTTTGCGTGTCTCAGCTCACTTTATCGGTTTCATGTCGGTTAGCCAACAATCCTATTAACCAGACCCCGTGGGCTAAGCCGCCCCCTCCCCCCCCCCCCCCCCCCGATGCTCATAGTATCACTGCTGCTATATTTAGAAGCACTTTTTCAGCATCGGGCCGCGGTAAATTGAATTGATAAATATGACAAGCGGCCAAGACAGGGGACAAGCAAGAATGGAGTTAATGGCTGCTTGACATTCCATTGGGTCACGTGATGCCCGCCTCTCTGAAGTCCGGTTCGAGATTTTTAATGAGTCCACTCCTCAAGAAAGTAATTTCCATGCCCATGGCTTCAGCCGGCCGTTCTTTCATCAAGAGTGTACAGCGTCGGTTTCCATTAGAGCATCAAGCCTCGATCTGATGTAAAAAAAAAAAAGTGCCTCGTTTTAAAGGGGAAATAAAGGTGCTTCTATTTATTCAAGGTGCCTCATTCTAAAAGAAAAAAATGGCGCCTTGTTTTGATACAAGCAGTGCCTGGATGTAAAAAAAAAAAACGTTTTTAAAATGTCGCCTCTCCTTGATGAAAGAAGTGCTTCGTTTTGAAATCAATAAAAAAATTCGCATCTTTTGAAAGCGTAAGTGCTTCGCCCGAAAAGATTAAATAGTGCCTAGTTTTGATGTTATAAGTGACTTAATACAAACGTTAATGCTATGTACTCATGTACTACCACTGGTCAAAAAATTTAAAGAGAAAATGTGTCACAGTAACCTAACCATGATCACGTTAACCTAACAATGATCACGTTAACCTAATCCTATCCCAGATCACGATCCATGATAGACTTCTACAATCGTTCATGACAACCACAACACAGGTTTCTATTTTTAGACTTCTAGTCACGTGTTCTTTCTCTTGACTCCATTATCAAACATGCATCTAGACCTCACTCCACATTCGCGTTAAACCACACCCACGACATCGCATTAATTAACTATCTAACCAACTCAGATCGAAGTCGAAGATCGATTATTTACATGGTTTCTATTTTTAGCCTCCTGGTCACGTGAGCTTCATCTAATTCCCACCATGAAACATCCGCCTAGATCCCACTCGTTCGTTTTAGATACGCCCACAACGTTACCTAAATTAACTATCTAATTAATCGAATGCCAATCAGCCAGTTCAGATCGAAAATCGATTCTTCAACTCACCACTAGTTTCGTCACAAAATCAAATCGGTCTTCCAGTAAACATATATCTTATATCTGTAAGGGGTCAAAAAACGGGGGTCTACCGGTAGATCAAGACCCCATAATCGTGGACCCCTACAGTGCAGGCGACATTAAACTTCCGGTTTGTCTTCGTTTAGTGCCGAGCAAGATCGGACATAAATTAGCGAACGCATGTGAAGCCAATAATCGAATCTATTTGCTTTTGGGATTTTTTTATGGCGTATTGATCAAGTTATCTGGATATCTTCATAAAAGATTTTTTTGTTGTTGGGTGGAGGTTTGATGTGTCGTGTTTAGATAAGGTGGGGTGGAGGTTTTAGTTGTATGATGGTGTTGTGGTATGTTGTAATTAATGGTTAAAACGGCAAGGTGATGCGAGTTTATGAGGGTATAGTTTGATGACATGGCTTGATGGAATTAAGCTGCAACGGTATAATGGTATGGTGAGAGGGAAAGATGATATTGTGTGATGGTACTGTATGATGGTAGGATGGTATGAGGGTATGATGTGACGGTATGGTATGATGGTGAGATAATAGAATGGTATGGTATCAGGGAACAAGGTGGGTATGAGGGTATGGTGTAATTGTATGATGATGCTATTGTATAAAAGTATGGAATAATGGCCCCATTGTTTGGTGAAATGATGGTTTCTGGATATGCCTCTTTGATACGATGGTTTGGTGGTACAAGGGTGTGTTAGAATAGTGTTACGGAATGATGATGTACATACATACATACATACATAGTTCATGAAACAGACAACTGATTTTCCAGACGTTTCGTTAGCTTTAGCAATCGGGACATGTTTTTACACCATTTATAAAGTTGTATATATATATATATATATATATATATATATATATATATATATATATATATATATATATATATATATGTGGTCGAGTTACCTAAAAGAAAATTTTAGGAATAACTGTAGTTTCCTAGACTTATTTTAGTATAAGTTGCTCTGAGAATGTACTATATAGTGATTAAGATTTAAATAAGGAAAAAAACAAACTATGACGGACCACCAGTAACTCTGTAGCTCACAGTACAAAACAACCTAGTGCAGAGCCTCAGAGCGTTTTATTTTAGTCAGATTAAGATGGAAGTGACACGATCGTTGACACTTTCGAGAACTTTCGTGAAAGCCTGTCTGTATGGAGAGTTTTGTGTGAGTGGGAGGGGGGGGGGGGGGTTAGTTTTATGTGAGAGGGGGTGGGGTAAATTTTCAGTGTGAAAATTGAGGAAAAACGTGCTGAAAGCGGATTTCTGGGATATGGGGTGTGTTCGACTTAGACTGTCCGGAAAGACATTGGGGGCTGTAGGGGGCAGGAGGGTAGGGGTGCTGTCATTTGAGATCTAGAAGGGGGGGGGGGGAATTGTGAGATCCCACGTCTCAGTATGGGGGTGGATGGATGGATAGAGGGAGGAGGGGGGTTGTTGGAACCGTTCCATGAACTCTATTAAATCCACTTTCTTACTTGCAGCATCTGAAAAAAAAATGTTTTTGAACGATCGAATAGAGTGGTCTGCATTTCGCTTAGAGATATCACGTTTTGATGAACTAGTTACTTCCCCTTCGTTCGCATAATGTGATGCTGGTTTTATTTTAACTAAATATAAATTCTTTAAGAAACACAAGGGGTCTCAGAACCGGGGCCTGGATATAAAAAAATCATTAAAAAACGTTTTAATAACAAGCTTTTATGTTATAATGCACTAAAAAGTAGAAAATAAATTATACACTACTATTTAAATAACTATAAAGAAAAGCGTGGATCACTTTAGTATCTCATGGATACCTTTACTAATATTTAGGAAGAGACCTAATTGAATGTCACCGTGCATTGTCTTCACCCACGTACCAATTACGAACCGTATCTGTCAGAAGTGCCTGCAATTTCGCACGGGCGTTTCGATGTAGACAGACTGACGACTGACGACAGAGGAAGTGCGTGTAATAAAAGTTTGTAAAAAGGAAGACCTGACTAAAGATAAAACGAGGTGTTGATTTATTTTATTTTTTTATGCTATTTTGTTTGGGGGTTTCGCAAGCTCTGTCTACATTTAGTAATTTAAAATTAATTGAACTTATGTGATTACTGCTCTCAGTGTACGAAACTTCGTATGCATAAATGAGCTCTTCTAACACAATCAATAGCAGCACTAACAAATTAGTTGGCCATTTTTTTTTTTTTTTTTTAGTCGGCCATTTTAGCGAAAATTAAAGAACACTGTCCAGAATAAAAGTAATCACAAATTTAGCTAAGCTTTCTTTTTTATTCACTTTATTTTTGTTAAATACTAATCTGTTTTTGAATAAAATAGAGTTAAATAGTAATTGTATTACTAATGATTTATGAATTGTAGACTAACAGTAATACATT